CTCACTCACTCCAACTCACTCACTCCAACTCACTCACTCCAACTCACTCACTCCAACCCACTCACTCCAACTCACTCACGCCAACTCACTCACTCCAACTCACTCACTCACTCCAACTCACTCCAACTCACTCACTCCAACTCACTCACTCACACTCACTCCAACTCACTCACTCCAACTCACTCACTCCAACTCACTCACTCACTCACTCACTCACTCACTCACTCACTCACCTCTCTGGACTCCAATGCGTCCAGATCTCTAGACTTTCTGCTGCTACGCCCGTAGACCTCGCACGCGATTCTCTTGCAGTGGGGCGGGCCGGGAAAGGCATAATTGTGAGATTGTGGGCTTCGTGCGCGCGAAAGAGTGGCGAGACGCTGGTGGGCGTTGCCCTTGAGCGACCGCCCTTCCCTGTCCGAACGGACCGCGCCCAGGCAAAGCTCACCGAGGCAGCGGGCCGGCAGCGCAACAAACCAAGCAAGCGAGCCCTACGCCGCCCCACGGGCACGTGGTGAGCTTACCCTGAGAACCTGAGTAGCAACGCAGTTGACGGCTCAATGATAGAGATAAAAGGGCGGTTGTCTGATGTTGAATGGAAGGCTGATTTCCAGAAGATTTACAACCTCTTTATCCATACTTCCCAAAGAAATCCCTGCAGTTCTTCACGTTCTGCACCAGGTATTCTTCGCGTGACAATTACCAGAAATAGCATGTTGGGAGTTGTGTGGAGCGTCATGGCATGTGATGATTTCTGTGCAGGTGATTCGCTCTGTCACGATGTGCAATGTGGTGACATGTCGTGTCGTGATATGTTGTGAAGTAGTATGTGGTGTGGCGAAGCGATGAAGAGTTGCGCGCTGATTCTTCGAGCTCTTTGAACGCCGGCGGCTCCCATTTTCACCGTTCAGAAGTGTCTTCGCCAATGATGTTCTTTGCAGCGTTTTTGCAAGTTGAAGAAACATGTTCAAGTCACCGGACCAAAACTGACAAAATGGGAAAGCTGGAAATGTGAAGTCGTTGATGCGCGATCCAGGGCTCATCCAAACAACCGCGTCATTCCAAATGCCTCTGTCCGACAAAGTTCGCTGGAGAGATGCGCCAATTTCTGCGGCATCTGTGGAGCCTTCGAATGCGATAAAGGCAGCGCGACTCTTGCAGGCAAAGTAGGCTGAGTAAGCACAAGGGGACAAATGCAATTTCTCTCAATATCTCTGCGTGTCTGTCTCTGCCCGTCTGTGTCTGCTTTCGTTTGCCTTGAGATGCCGTGACTTAGAAGGCCTCGAAGATGGCAAGGTCAGGATAAAAAGCTCTTGCAAATGTACAGCGCCTACTGTGTGCTTCTGGGTCATACACTCTAATGCTTGCGCGCGACCTACCTAGGGGTGATTCTCAAAAAGACTCAGTTTGGGGCAGTGTATTTAAGTTGAATTAGAGAGTGGCGGTGGTGTTGAGCCTGAAAAATATGCTGCGAGAAAACACATCACATGTCATCTTGAGAGTCCAATGTGCAGAAAACGAAACGGGGCCTTGGAACAGCTATATATATATATACATACAGCTCCTGCTTGCATAATATGCTCGACTCCTCTGGACTGGATAACGTTGCTGCCACTTTAATGGGGTATTGTGGTGACGGTTCTCAACTTGCTGTCAGATCTGGAATCTGTTATTCTGCACCAAATCCTACACCCAAAAGCGCCTGCGCGGACTTTTTGACATCTTTTTTGAACCTCCGTCACTCAGTGAAACTTGCGGCAAGCCTCAAGTCTATCCAGGTGGACCTCCCGTTTCAAACAAATATTGGGAAATGCGCGCTGCAAACTTGCACTGAACGGTTTAGCAGTTCAATGCATCATATTCTGCATGATCATGATGGAACGCAAAGCCTTTATCTACCTCGCAGATTCACTTTCTGCAGATTTACTGCGTAAAGAAGAACCGCCTAAAGGCGGGGCAGTGTCATCCCCGTCTTTTCTGTAGAAATGCGTGAAGTACGGTCACCGTACCGTCCATCGGCTCGAGTGAGATGCGCATGCTGAAGGTCGACGAATTGCGCAATCCAGCGAGGCGGACGCGTTGAAGCCACAAAGTTGGGCCCCTCTTTCTGGAAGTTCTGCAGACACCCCTGACTTCATGCCCAGAGCTTCATCCCCTTGCATCTTCTTCCACATGGCCTGGCTCAAACTTGTGTCGGAAAGTGACAGCAACAGCGGCTTGTAAAAAAGCAGCCTGAAACCTGAACAGCAAATGCGCCCCAGGGTGCACTTGCTGGAAGCAGCCTCACTCTCAAAAACTCAAGCCAAACTGCAAATCTTGTGAAGAACCACGTGTCTGTGCACGGTTGAGGGCTGGGCATAGGCTTGCCACCAGCACCTGGCTATGCTCAAACGCATTCTTCATACGGCCTCACCTAGCTAGCCTTGTTTGCGGCATGGCCAAAATGGCACTGGATTCGATCTGACTTCCTGGCATGGAAGAGGTTCACCAAACGATCGCTATCTGTAAACAACGCTCCTGACTTGTAGAATGCACAGGCGGCGCTTGCAAATCGTTCACATAGAAGGTGAATTTGGGGGCTGGACCTTGCAAGTCAGCCAGAGTATATAATGCAAGAATGAGTGCTGCCAAACATATTCACAGGACCTGTCTAGAGTTTTCTTGAAGCGTGTGTTTCTTTTGGAGCGTCAGTCTTAGCTACAGAGGGTCTTTGCTTCACACCCACACGTGGCGTAGAATTGCGTTGCTGCTTCCAATTGATACATCGCTCTGTCAAGTATTGCCGCGCGGCTCCGCCTAGAAGCTGGAGCGCCAGATGTATAGCATGTTTGCAGATAGCATTCTTCACGTTGCGCCCGCAACAGGGCTTGAACTGAATACGTGAAAACGGCTCTAGCAGTGGTGAGGGCACGTGTTGGGTTTCAATAGTTTGCTTGCTTGCAGTGGTGGGGGCAAGCGGTGGTCTTGCCCGGAGTTGCATTGCAAAGACATCATAATGTTGGCCAGCCGAACTCAAAAAACATGTTTGAAGCTCGGAACAATTCTTTCTCAGCGTGCCAACTAGCTCAAGGCGCCTGATCCAAGCCGAAACGGCCACACGGTATGTTTACTGTACAACACACCCTGGTAGAAACAGCTCAGAATCACACCCGTCTTATCTTCAGGTGTGTTGGGCCATCAGTTCAACAAAAGGTTTGCGCAAAGGCAGTGCGTCCCTGCAACTCTATTCCACGTGGGACATGGAAACCTGATCTTTCCATCCGAAATTCTAGCAAGTCTTCATGAAACATCCTTGCCACCTTTCTCGCGCGAGCTGTCTCCAACATCAATGAGACTTGCGTCGATGGTGTTCAGGAGGTAGTCAGGCTTCATGCGCTGCTTTTGGCTGTTTCGATCCACTTCAAGTGGTGTCCGTATGGGCTATACACTTTTGACGTCATCTCACCATTCACAGTCCATACTCCTTGCCTTAACGCTGCAAGCGCAATTCCAAGTCTCTTGTCTTGGACCTTCCGTGGCGCTTCAGCGGTCTGACAATGACCAAGTACCCTTGCGCCGTCGGTCTCTTCAACCCAATTCTTCATGTCAACAATCTTACCTGTCAGCTCACAGATCAGGTACCTCAATCTGTCTCCATGTTCAACTGCCATCTGGAGTGCATATGCTTCTGCTTGCAAAGTTGCTCGACAAACACGTTTCAAAGTTGTCGATCCAAAGCTGATCAAGTGCATCTTGCGTTGGTTCTCATGAAGGTCTTTTGCGCTTGTCAAAAAACAACCTTCCTTGTTGGCTCTTGTAGCCTTCTTCATTTGCAAAACTAGCATCGCCGAAAGTCACAATTGCCAGATCGTCCCAATCGATCCAGTCACTCTTGAATGTGATCTGAAGGTCACTTCCTTGAAGTGCCAATTCGACAACCTTGTTTGCCATTTTCAAGTCTTGCACGGTTGCTTTTGCACTGCGCGCTCTTTGCGTTTCACTCACGCGATAACGCAAATCTGGTCGGCCATAACGGCCCCCCCGCGCAAGGCTTCCTTCCCACAACACGTCTCAAGCTTGCGAGTTCTTTCTCTGTCAACTTGCGGTTCTTGTCGATCTCAATCGGCTTGTCTGTCTTACAGTTCTCGCTCGTGGAAATACTCACAGAAAAATCATCACACTGTACGAACTGTCGTCCACCATTCTCAGTCTTTCCGATGGTGAACTTTTGCAAGATGTTCTCAATGGTGCTCTTGCCTTCATCAAGATAGCAGTAGAGCAAATCGTCAAGGTGAGTTGCGATCATGCCAATCAAAACCAACTTCCCTTTAGGGTTGTGCAAGTAGTACAAGGCTGGAGTGATCTTCCTGCACTTCAGACCTCCATTTGGATCTCCCCATTCATTCGTGAATAGAAACCACGGCCTGCGTCAATGGTTCCATAAATTGGAAGTCTTGCAATCAGAGCGGCGTCCGGTGGTACGTCATCACGCGGAATGCCTCCTCTCCGTTGCCTCGTGAGCAAAAGTCTGCCCATGGGATTTGCCTGGAAGTATGCGCTGCTCACGTCAGCGCAGTAGAACTTAAAGCCCAAGGCTGGCAGGTTGCGAAACACCGAACGCATTTCTATCCCAGATTTGCCAACCATCGCCGGCTCTTCCAACGCCTGCGCCGACGTCAGCAGACCATCAAACAACCCCATCTCTTCACATCCACCAAGCACCATGCCCTGACCGTGCTTCGCGATCTCACCAAACACACCAGAGATTGCTTGGAAGCAGCCAAACCCGGTCGCGCCAAAGCCCTCCAGATCATCACCCAAGCCATGCTATACTATACCGCAACCTCACACCACCAAGACCCATTGCCAATGCTCCTCTCACACTCCCTTTTCTTGCTCACACCAACTTCAACTACAGCGCCCAGCAATGGCTCAAATCCCTTGTGCGCCAGTAAATTTCACGCGCCGTCCCTCTCCACCTTCCCTCACGCAAACTACGAGAAGCAGCGCGCCGCACTCTCCGGAGCAAGCTGCGCAACCACAGATAGTGGGAAACCCTCATCTTACCCCCCGCAGATCCCACCACGCTGCCCTGCGCATGTGCGTACCTACGCACACTGCTGAAAGCAGGCGGGCACTACATCCTCACTCTCTCGGATCTCAACCTCCCCTCCCACCTCCGCATCTTTCCTGATGCCAACATGAGCAGCGCCTTTTATCCTACAATACTTCACCACCTTCCACACAGCACTACAGCGATGGCTCCACACACACACACACGGCTTGCCACCATCACTCACTCAGCATGCCGACACCTTCTTGCAACAACAATGGCAACACCATTTACAACAACTACACACCCAACCTCGTTTTACTGCCAGACTCCTCCGCCAGCTTCAGGAGCATTTGTGGATCAAGTTGTCCTGCGCTACGTGGACCACGAACTCCAGCAATTACGCCGTTTTTCTGTTCCCAGTTATATTTACAGGGAGCTCTTGCGACATGGCATCCTCCGGAACTTTTCCACCTCGCACGAGCACTTCCAAGCCACAGTTCCCCCTTTGCTACGTACCCGTTACAAATGGGGTTTTCGCAAAACCTTCACCATCCCTTACGGCATTGTACACCTGAAAGAAAAGAAGCAGTGGCGCAAAGGAAGGACTATCATCTCTTACTATCGCTCCTTGACAGGCAACCTATTCCGTGTCACCAGCCGTGCCCTTGACACCATTCTTCGAACACCTTTACCCTCAAAACCCAGGCCAACATCCCCCAACTCTGGCAGCACTTCGTCCAATACCTGGCCACAACCTTCTACAATTCAGTCCCACAGCACCGTTTGATCGAAGCAGTTCACAGCCTCATCAACCGATGGCAGCAGCAACAATGTTTCCCTGGTGTTTGCATGATATTCTGATATTCACCTAAACCTGCCTCAATTTTAAGATTTCTTGTGTGCTGCAGACCTGCGCGCTACGTCGTCATTTGTCGGGATCGGCTTGAGCTTTTGGCCCCACTTCCGTTTGAGGACCTCCAAGCTCGGTGAGCCCGCAGAGTGCCCCCTGTGGACCCGTCGAACGGGGGTATGTCGTTGTTCCCACTGCCCGGGAACGTAGGTGTCCGAAGCGGACAGCAGGAGGCTTAAGCCAAAGTTATTTGCCAAGACCTGATGGATTATTGAATTCTAAGCTGGCCGCCCCCGGGCATGCCGTTAGGTGACCGGAGCGGTACTACTACCCCCTATTAATTTGATCCTGTGTCACTGGCCTTTTGTTTGTGCTTGTTTAAACTTATTGCGACGACTACCATCTACTACCTACTACCTAAACCTACAAACTATTAACTACTAACTACCTACCTACCTACCTACCTACCAACCCACCCACCCACCTACCTACCTACCCACCTACCCACCTACCCACCTACCCACCTACCTCCCTACCTCCCTACCTACCTACCTACCTACCTACGTCTACTTCCTTTTCTTTCTTCCTCTTTCTCTTTTCCTTCTTTCTCTCTCTCACTCTCTCTCTCTCTCTCTTTCTCTCTTTTTCTTTTTCCTGTCTTCCCCTACCTTCTTTCTTGGGTGTCCCTGGATGCTTTCGTCATAGCTGGGAACCCTTCTCTTCTCTTCTCTTGGTGTGTCCTTGGACGCTTGCGTCGTAGCTGGGAACACCTTCTTTTCCTTTCCTTTCTTCTTTTTCTTTCTTCTCTTCTCTCCCTACCCCTCCCTCCCTCGCGCTCGATGCAACAGGTTTTCACTGAGGTTTGGCTTCATCGGCTCTCGTCCCCTTCATTTGTTTCCCTTTTCACCATTCCCCTTCACACACTTTTGTTCTCCTCTTTTCTTTCGTGTCCTCCTGTCTTCATGTCTTAGCATTTCATTCCTTCTTTCTTTTGCGCACACATCGGTCCCGGCCTTAGTGTGTACACGAACATTTACTTGTACTTCTAAGCCCAAGTTTCAGGTCGCCCAGGTTTTCACAATGAGGTGGGGTTCATCGGTTGTGCCTGTGCACTTGGTTCCCCTTTCATCGCAACCACGCACACTTTTGTCCTGTCTTGTCCTCTCTTCATGTCTTCAATTTTTGTTTTTGCTGCGCGCACACGTGCGCATTCGTCCTAACCTTCGTTTTTCTCGCCTCCCCTCGGGCAGGCGTGTGTGTATAACCCTTGGAGTCACAGGGATCCTGATAGGTTCGCTTTTTCTTTCTGCAGCGGGCTGGAGCCAGGTGGGGGGCCCCCACCTGGGTGTAAACGTGACAACACCCCACTCTTCCACCGCTGTGGTTTGTTTCCATGGTGTTTGCATGATATTCACCTAAACCTGCCTCAATTTTAAGATTTCTTGTGTACTGCAGACCTGCGCGCTACGTTGTCATTTGTCGGGATCGGCTTGAGCTTTTGGCCCCACTTCCGTTTGAGGACCTCCAGGCTTCTTTGGTTTTCACTTGATCTGGTCAGGATTTGGGTACCCAGGTTGGCGTGTGGCAATCCGCATCCAATCAGTACGCATTTCCATAAGTGTGTGTGTGTGTGTGTGTCAAAACCTGTACCTAAGGGAATGTTCCACCGACGTGATTGTTCATAGCAGGGGGGCAGTGCACGACTGACAGACACTGCCCAACGAAAACACTGCCAGATCGTGGTGAAGCAATGCGGGGTGCCGCATTGTGTACCTGCACCTTGACAATACTCCACTCTCCACCGCTGTGTTTTACTTCCATGGTTGTTCTCATGATGCTCCCCTAAACCGTTCTACCGCTGAGCTGCCGCCGCGTCGCCGCTGGACGTGAGAGTCTTTTGCTTGCAAACAAATTTTGGAAACCAGCACTCTTACCGTTCCTTCGTTCATTTCTCTGTGGATTCTCTCACTGGATAAAACCTATCGAAGTGTGTGCGAGAACGACCAACAGGATGGCGTGGGACCACTTTTGTAGAAGTGGGCACGCAAAGAAAACTCCCAGGGACCCATTTTTGAGCAATATTGAATTCGGAAATTCATGGCTTACACGCATCCTGCAAACATGCGCCTGGTTTTTCAGCCTTGGCAGACTATTCTAAAATCTGCAAAGGCCAATGAATGCTGCAGGTTTTTTTTCCTCCACTTTGGCAAAACATGTGACGCAGTTCGCACCATAGTGAGCCTTGCTATGCGGGCTGCTGTGGTAATCGGATTGCCATTGTTGAGCTTTGAAAAACAGACCAAAAGTAGCGCTTCTTGGAACTAACCCATGCCTGCAGCGAAGCAGATCGTTTGCACAGCGTCTCCTCAAACACATTCCAGATCCCTAGGACCCTGGATGGGGTGAAGCTACATCCAGAAAGGGGTCTACCAAAAGGGCAGACTGGCCAAACTCGAATATATAGTCAGTGACCAAATTTGGCTGAGGTTGATGGAAGCTGATGGTGCTGGCAAAAACGAGGGAGACATCCGGGGTGGCCCCAGCCAACTGCATCAAAGGCCTACAAGCCTGGTGCTGGGTGAATAACGCTCCGAAGGCACGTGAGGGAAACCGTCATCGCAACCAATAATAAACAGCGGATTGGTTAAACGCGCCTGCCGGGCTGAAAATCTAAGGTGGGATCCGTCACGGCCAAATGGTGCAACTGCTATCTCATCCATGCTGGGGGTTCCATCAACACATTGTAAGGCAAGGTGCAGAGCAAGGCGCAAAAGACACGTGCAGGAAAAGAACTGTCAGGGAAGGGAGATCAAATTCAATTGATTTTAAAGCACGCTTCTGGTCACCATATATAGCCACTTGGAAAGAAAGGGCTGATACTGTTTTTGAGATAGTGCACCCTTGCGCAGGAAGCATGTTCAACAGCAATAAGAAGCAATGTAGGTTGACTGCCATTCACCTGCTTCAAGCCAGCCTTTTCCATGTCCGTTTGGTTGTGCATTTAAAAGCACTTCATCCCAAGGAACCCAGCCAATTGTACAAAGGACCCTAGCAACACACCAAGTACACAGCAAGCTTTTCTCTCTAGATCCAGGGCATTCATTGCAAGTTCCATTTTGGTAAAGCATGCTCAACATGTTCCAACCAAACTCCATAAATGGCCGAGCCACTTGAGTCACCCACATCGACATCATCACCACATGAATCTCCAAACTGAGGAGCTTCGGTCTCTGTTCGCCTTGACTCAATCCACAGCACTTTGGTTCTCTTGGAACATGCTTTGCTCATATTTCCGGCAAGGCACCGAAGCTCTTCTAAAACTTTGTGTCGAATATGTGGCTGCAAAGAATTGGAACTTGCAACTGGCTGCCAGGTCTCCTTACGTGTCACCAATTTAATCTCTTCCAGCATACTGAATCCCGTGGACAGACTAAGATAGGCTTGGTCGAGATGAATGCAAAAAGGCGCTGTGTGACCAGCTCTGACATCTTGTACACGCTGACGTCGTAAAACCCGCTGAGCCGCTGATCTGCTGCCTGTCGAGACCCCCGTTGCGCAATTCTGCAACACCTTTCTTTTGGCAAGTCAGCGCGTTTCGCGTACCTCCTGCTGTGCCAATGCCTGGATGATCTGCTGGGTTTACGAATATGATCGTTCCAGCACCAGGAGCCACTGATTGACGCAAATGCTGCTGGCACACATGGCAAATGTCGAAAAGCGATCATGAAACACGCAAGCAAGAACACACCAAACAGGCTGGAACCGCGAACCCGCCCCACTGCACTAATGAAGAAGTCATACAGTGTGTGGAACCTAACTGCCAAGTTCTGAAGTAATTGACAAATCGGTCTGGAATGCGCATCTCTGAGGTAGAAACCCCCGGTGTCCTTAGCAAAACTCGCGCATTAAAGATACGAGAGAGAGAGAGAGAGTCAGAGAGGCGAGCTTAGCCAAGACCCTGAAAAGCAAACACTGGAAGTTACTGTGTCTGAAAGAACTTGGATGCACGCGCTTGCCTTCCCTTTGCACACCCCAGTGCTTGCGTTTTGTTCCTGACCAGCCTAGCCAAACTTGGAATTAGATGACTAGATGATTCAGTGTACATTTGCTGATTCATCGAACCGATTGAAAAAGGAATAGGGTTTGCCATTAATAATGCGCACAAAGCATGCACCACTCAGAACTTAGTTTGAAAATATCTCAGTTGGACTGTCAAAAACAGTTTCGTCACCGGACTTGGCCAACTCAAAGTATGCTGCACTACGTGTAGGGGTGAAGCAAAAGAAAGCATTACGCCATGAAGCGGAACTTTTGGACCCTTGAACTTGAAGGGCACTATGACAATCTTCTCCAAACATAACAGCATACAATCTTGCATATAGAACCTAGAAAGTCTGGAGCAGCTTCCACACACACTCTTAGATTGGTGCTCGCAAGAGCTGAGTCAGTGAATGAAGTTCCCCTTTACCCGCATTAGCTCTTGCCTCGATGAAACGGAACGATGCGAGAACAGCAAGGCGATGGAGTCCGCAAATTTGAAGGTGTTTGAACAATTTGTTGCAACGCGTTAGCCGCTTACTGCAAAACACCGTAGTGGACAGCTTGGAAGTGGTTCAAAATCTTAAAATGTGGCAGGTGCACATTCAGGCGTCCCTGAATGCTTCCACCAGTCTTCTACAGCTTCGTTGGGCAACGTAAGAAGACTGGCAAACGAAGAGGGCAAGAGAAAAAGATAGGAATAGTTACGAGGCCCACTAGTTATGGAACCTTCTAGCTACTGACTACTGACTGCTTAGCCAAATCAATTAGGTGCACTAGTTAGCGAGCGGAACTTTAGTCGGGTAGGAAAGACTAGCGCAGGAGAAACCGAAGGAAAGGCGCCAACGCGCAAGTGTGCTGAGTCCCTTCTGTTACCCTAACTAGAGGGTGGGATAGCAAGTATGTGCAAGGGTGGGAGGGAAGGGGGGAGGGGCGCTCCCTTGACTGAAAGGCATCTAAAACCTAAAGAAAGGCCTCAAGAAAACGGAAAGCAACAGCAAGAAAGAAAAAACAAAAGAAACAAAAGAAAAACTTAGTTACTCGCCTATTCGTTCTCTGCTCACGTTTTATACTCTCACGTCAAGCTTCACCTGATACCTACAGGCTTCAAGCAAAGCCATTGGAAGTCGTTAGACACGTCTGAGTTCGTTTCGTTGCATGGATCGCACACGCGCAGGAAAAACCAGTGGGCCCTGCGGCATTCAATCTCAGTACGCCCTGCGGCGTTCAATCGGCAATCTCAAGCAAAACGAAACGAGCCTGTGGTCATCAGAACGAAGTTCCCAGAATGAAGGACGAGGAGTCAGGGGGAATCACCTTTACGGGCATGTGCACACGCTGCGCCTTCTGATGGGGATCACACCACAGCCCTCAGTGGGGCTCTGTGGCGACACACACTTAGATTGGCGCTGGCAAGAGCTGAGTCAGTGAATGAAGTTCCCCTTTGCCCGCATTAGCTCTTGCCTCGATGAAACGGAACGATGCGAGAACAGCAAGGCGATGGAGTCCGCAAATTTGAAGGTGTTTGAACAATTTGTTGCAATGCGTTAGCCACTTACTGCAAAACACCGTAGTGGGCAGCTTGGAAGTGGTTCAAAAGCTTAAAATGTGGCAGGCGCACATTCAGGCGTCCCTGAATGCTTCCGCCAGTCTTCTATAGCTTCGTTGGGCAATGTAAGAAGACTGGCCGTCGCCCCGTTGCCCCCCTGCCTCTTTTTCCCCAATAGCCATGCTACGGGGTCTTGCAAAACTAATGGGCGGACGGGCGCCGTCGGGTCACCGTCAGAGCTGGTGGGCGGATGGTGTCCCGGTCATGTTTTGATGGCGTCCGGGTCATGTATTGTGACCCAGTCATGTCGTGATGGTGTCCCGGTCCTGTTTTGATGGTGTCCCGGTCATGTTTTGATGGTGTCCCAGTCATGTTGTGATGGTGTCCCGGTCATGTTTTGAAGGTGTCCCGGTCATGTTGTGATGGTGTCCGTCATGTTGTGATGGTGTCCCGGGCATGTTTTGATAGTGTCCCAGTCGTGTTGCGACGGTGTCCCGGTCATGTTTTGATGGTGTCCCGATCATGTGATGGTGGCGCGGTCATGTTGTGATGGTGTCCCGGTCATGTTTTGATGGTGTCCCAGTCATGTTGTGATGGTGTCCCGGTCATGTTTTGAAGGTGTCCCGGTCATGTTGTGATGGTGTCCGTCATGTTGTGATGGTGTCCCGGGCATGTTTTGATGGTGTCCCGGTCGTGTTGTGACGGTGTCCCGGTCATGTTTTGATGGTGTCCCGATCATGTGATGGTGGCGCGGTCATGTTGTGATGGTGTCCCGATCATGTTTTGATTGTGTCCCAGTCATGTTGTGATGGTGTCCCGGTCGTGTTTTGATGGTGTCCCGGTCATGTTTTGATGGTGTCCCGGTCATGTTGTGATGGTGTCCCGGTCATGTTTTGATGGTGTCCCGGTCATGTGATGGTGTCCCGGTCATGTGATGGTGTCCCGGTCATGTTTTGACGGTGTCCCGGTCGTGTTGCGACGGTGTCCCGGTCATGTTTTGATGGTGTCCCGATCATGTGATGGTGGCGCGGTCATCTTGTGACGGTGTCCCGATCGTGTTTTGATTGTGTCCCAGTCATGTTGTGATGGTGTCCCGGTCCTGTTTTGATGGTGTCCCGGTCATGTTTTGATGGTCGGTCATGTTGTGATGGTGTCCCGGTCATGTTTTGATGGTGTCCCGCTCGTGTTGTGACGGTGTCCCGGTCATGTTTTGATGGTGTCCCGGTCCTGTTGTGATGGTGTCCTGGTCATGTTTTGGCGGTGTGCCGGTTATGTTTTGATGGTGTCCGGGTCATGTGACGGTGTCCCGGTCATGTTGTGATGGTGTCCTGGTCATCTTGTGATGGTTTTCCCGTCATGTCATGTTGGTGTCCCGGTCACCTTGTGATGGTGTCCCGGTCATGTTGTGATTGTGTCCCAGTCATGTTGTGACGGTGTCCCGGTCATGTTTTGATGGTGTCCCGATCTTGTGATGGTGGCGCGGTCATGTTGTGATGGTGTCCCGATCATGTTTTGATTGTGTCCCAGTCATGTTGTGATGGTGTCCCGGTCCTGTTTTGATGGTGTCAGGGTCATGTTTTGATGGTGTCCCGGTCATGTTGTTGATGGTGTCCCGGTGATGGTGTCCTGGTCATGTTTTGGCGGTGTGCCGGTTATGTTTTGATGGTGTCCGGGTCATGTGACGGTGTCCCGGTCATGTTGTGATGGTGTCCTGGTCATTTTGTGATGGTTTTCCCGTCATGTCATGTTGGTGTCCCGGTCACCTTGTGATGGTGTCCCGGTCATGCTGTGATTGTGTCCCAGTCATGTTGTGACGGTGTCCCAGTCATGTTGTGATGGTGTCTCGCTCATGTTGTGACGGTGTCCCGGTCATGTTTTGATGGTGTCCCGGTCATGTTTTGATGGTGTCCCGGTCATATGTTTTGATGGTGTCGGGTCATGTGATGGTGTCCCGGTCATGTTGTGATGGTGTCCCGGTCATGTTGTGATGGTGTCCCCGTCATGTCATGCTGGTGTCCCGGTCATGTTTGATGGTGTCCCGATCATGTGATGGTGGCGCTCATGTTGTGACGGTGTCTCGGTCATGTTTTGATGGTGCCCTGGTCATGTTGTGATAGTGTCCCGGTCATGTTGTGATGGTGTCCCCGTCATGTCATGCTGGTGTCCCGGTCACCTTGTGATGGTGTCCCGGTTATGTTGTGATGGTGTCCCAATCATGTTGTGACGGTGTCTCGGTCATGTTTTGATGGTTCCCTGGTCATTTTGCGATGGTGTCCTGGTTATGTGATGATGGTGTCCAAGGAAGAGATGGTCGATGTGTTGAAAACAGCAGCTGTTTGCAGATTTTTCTTTTTGTCCCGGTTTGTATCTTGCTATTGGGGTCTCCAGCTGGGCTAGTTTTCGAACGGAAAATCTTAATGAACGTATGGAAACCTTGGTAGCGGGTGGTGACACACACTCTGACATTGGTTTTCAGTTAGCTCAGTTCCCAAGCTGAGAAGGAAGGTGAGGGAACGGAAAGGTGCATGAGTCCGCAAAACAGTATTGTTTAACAAGGTTTCACAACGAGCGGAAGTGGCGTTCAGCAGCTGCAATGCGGAGGGAAACCTGTTTGTGGGGAAGGTATCGTGCGAACCACCATGAGTCAAATCGAAAGTGGAAAAGCTTGAGCAACAGTTTCCGGTGCAGGTACGTCGGCAAGCGTCCTTGCCGATATCCTAGGATCATGTGAGGAGCTTCGTTGGATGGAGCCTCACATGTCCTCTCCATCCCCCTGCTGTGTGGCGTGAAAGTGGAGAAAAGAAGTAAACCCTTCGGCGCAGGGGTTGACACACGCAGATGGCCGATATCGGCGCGCGTGTGTGGAAGGAGGTGGTGGCACTTGTTTTGTCTCAAAAAACGCCGGCGCTCGGTGGGGTCATGTCTTTTTTTGGACGTACAGCCGGACTAGCTCTTCAGCAGCTGCCGATGCGGTGGCTGGTGGAAAGGTGTAGGTGTAAATTGCGTGTAGACGGGAAGCTAAGCCGGAAAGAGCCAAGCGCTGGCTACCGGCGCTGGTGGAGTCACTGATCTTCCAGGGTTGGTTGGGTTGGATGTATGTGATTGTGCGTTGTGTGAGGTCGATGTTGAAGCCCAGGAGGTGAAAGTCATCCACTGTTTCTAGTTCGACGGGATCGCCAAAGAAGTTGTGGTGGATGAGCGTTTGAATGGCTGGGTGGGAGAGGAAGTGTTCGTTGTGCACAATGAACCGATTGTCAACATATCGATAGTAAGTGAAATGGAGAGCTGTGTGCTGAAGGAGGTTGTTGTGGAGTTGGTGCCAAGAGTGTTCGATCAAGGTGATGGCGACGTTGCACAGGGCAGGAGAGAGTTGGGAGCCAATCCCAGCCCCTCGAACTTGCTTGTATGTGTTGTTACATGCCCGGAAAATACAGGTGTTGAGTGCAAAGGCTACAATGGTAGTAGTGATGTCGG